GGGGTCTTGCCACCCTAAACACCAAGAGAGGCAGACCCTCTGGGTTCTCAGAGGCTCAGGGCATTGCTTGCTGTGCTCTATTCACGTTGGAGACGGCACAGAGCTTGCTCTGTACAAGCCTGGTGCTAGCCTGACATCGCGGATGTGCACGGCTGGTGTGCCGCTAGGACAGAGCATCCTTAGGGGTTGGTGTGGTGCTTCTGTGCAGGACTGGGCAGGGCTTAGCCCTCCCCAAAGCCGGGTGGGGTGTCACTCTAACTAACAAAGCCTGTTTTCCCTCCGTGCTGTTCATCTTTCCTGCGAAGGGTGGCAGCCTGCATGGCTCAGAACCAGAGCCTGGGGAACATACGGGCGCTGCAGAAGCAGAACAGGTAAGTACTTCTTGTTGGACCCGGCAGATGTGATGGGGAGGGCTGTTCCTTTGGGGTTGTGGCCTGCAAAGGGGGCAATGGGGGAGTGTGCAGCCCTTGGTTTATCTGCTGTGTTAACCTGTGTTACCTCCTGTCCTGCAGGTCACTGTTCGGGCAGTTCAGGGAGCTGCAAGCCTTTGTGAGCCAGCCCTCTAACAGGACTGCCGTGGCTAAAACCTACATGACGGTGGGTGGCTTCAGCCTCAATGTCTGTGAAGGGGCCTCTGCTGCTTGGGAGAGAAGTGTTTACTGCTGTGAGTGATGCCTGTCTGTGCCCTTTGCTGAGGTCTGTGCCCATCTGTTTCCAGGCCATTCTGTCCTTCGGTGTCTTTTTCTCGCAGAGCGCCTGCATGATTGAAAGCATCAAGGCAAATCTGGATCTTGAAGGTGAGTGCCTGGGGGCTGAAACATGGCTCCAGGTGAAGCGCTGCCCTCCTTCCCCATAGACACTCGCAATCCTGGGGAACCTCCACCCCAGCACCCCCCTTGCTGGGGTACTACTATGTTCGGCTCAGCTGTGCACTCTTCCTCAGCCCTGTTGCAGAGGTCTGCCTTGGGGTACAAGAGGTGGTACAAGAGCTAGAGAGATCCAGTCCCCCTTGGATGCTTGTGCCTGGCAGCAGCACAGAATCCTTCCCTGCTTCCCCTGGGAGGAGGCAGCTCTAGTTCTTCTCTTGTGGGCTCTGGGCAGGATGGTGGGAGGCTGGGGATGACAGGCCCAGCATCTGAGGACCCCTCCACTCGGGTTGGGCAACCTCATTTGGTGATGGCAAAAGGGCCATGGTCCACCCAACCCCACTCACAAATCTTCTTTCAACAGAAACTCAATACCTGATGCTCTGGCAGCAGCTGATTTCGAGCTGGTTCCCTCTGAGCCTCCTCAGCAGCACTCCCAGGGCAGCCCATCACAGCCAGAAGTGCCTGTGTTGTGGAAGTGGAAGAGGAAGGTGTGGCCTGATCATGCTGCCCCAGAGGGGTAATCCAGCAGCACCCTGCAGATGTGACTTCTGCCACTTCCTCCTGCTTCTCGGGGTGACCCTGGGCATCCTACCGGAAAGGGATGAGTAGAGCCTCCTTAGTCTCATCAAAGCTGTCAAAGTAGATTCTTCTGAATACTCCCCTGACTGCTGTGAGCTCAGGTTTGCTGGGGAGGAATAGTTCTGACACTTTATGTTTCTATAGCAGAACTCCATATGAGATGATAGAATAGAAAGCTCTTGTCAATTTTGCTGTAGCTGCTGATGTGCCTTGCAGCTCAGGGCACATCCTTGTGGCTTGTAGGGATGGGGTGTGGCATGGAGGGTGAAGGTGGTCAAGTCTGAGGTTGCCATTAGCTAATCTGCACAAGATAGATGGAGTCTATTGTACTGCTGCTTCTTTGCCCAGGTAAAGGTGAATAAACAAAGTCCTGCACTTATTACTGCATGCAGTAGCCACAAACATCTGTCCGTTGCCCCTTCCCCTTAGTCCTGTGGTGTTGCCTGATTTGTGAGATAGGGAGCTGCCCTTCAGTGCTCCCACAAAGAGTGATTCTGCCATTGCGACAGGCTCTGCTTGTCGCCTGTTCCTGCTATCTTTGAGCCACAGGCACAGGTGCTGGCCTGGCTAGAGAAGGTAATGTAGAGCCCTTCCCAGGCCATGTGTGCTGTTGCCTTCTGTAGGGGCTGAGCCTTTCCATCTGGCACAGCCCACTCTGTTTATCCTGGACCTCAGGGGGAGGCACATCTCAGAACCTTCATGCGGGGTGCGATGAAGCAGAGCGCAGCAGAGCTGTTTGCTCCCCTGGAGGCTTTCATGGCCGCAGGATGTTCTCAAAGCTGTGTCCTTGTGTGCCCAAGCTTTGCTGTGCTGGCCAAGGATGCAGTGAGCTGTTTCTAGTTGCTCCAAAAGGTTAAGCAGAAGCACTTTTGATATGGTGAGCAGTGTGTTGCTTGAAGTGCAGCTTAGTAGTGAACGACAAAAAAAAAACACTGCTTGTTTTAAATGACTTACTACTGCTTAAATAGGTCTACTGGGCACTTTCTGCATACTTTTAAACTATCATGTAATGGTTAATCATCTTTCCTACTGTAGAACATTTCATGGAATCATATAGAATATTTTAAATTGTAAGGTTCCTTTAAAGATCATTTAGTTCAATTCCCCAGCTGTAAGCAGGGTGCCTTCCACTAGATCTCTGTAACAGTTAATACTTTCCTTAGTAGTAGCAAGTAAATAAATAGTAATGAAGCATGACCATGTCTCCTTTTGGTGGTTTTGGTGCGGGGTACCACGCTCCGCGGAAGCGAGCAGCTTCCCTGGTCGGAAGCATGAGGAGCCGGTGTCTGCCCCGCTGCTGCTGTTGTAACAGAGCTGCACAATGGCAGGAAGTGGAGCAGAGGCAGGGTAGTGCAACAGCCCCATCCCTTCGGCTGGGGGGCTGTGGGGAGGGCGCTGCTGTGGTGTGGGTGATAAATCAGGGCTGGGCCCTGGGGTTGCTGGGATCAGTGGGTCCATGGGAGGTGGGAGTGGACCGTGAGCTCAGGCTGTGGAGCCTAGTGATGGGTTTGGGTGACGGATGCAGGCAGCACCGTGCTTTTAACCCACCCCATAAGCAAAGAGTGTGTGTGCAAGTGAATGAGATCTAACACTGAAAGCGTGGTCTCTGCCTGCGCAGGAGAAACAGCCAAGGGGTGCCTCTGTCCCCAGGAGGACAGGCAGCAGCACACTTGCATCGGGATCAGGTCTCAGCTCTGCCCTGGCTGGGGCATGCAGCCTGTCACATCCTCAGGGAACTGCTGGACCTCTTTTCCCAGGAGCCATGCACGATGGCAGGAAGCTAGACCTCACTTTTACTTTGCAGTTCAAGGCCAGGGTGTGATGCCACTGATGTCACTTGGAGTCCTCAGCCTGGCACTAAGCGATATTACTCATCCAAAATAAAACACAGTGGTGCTGCCAGCAGAGCAGGGAGCAGCACCGCAGCCCGTGTTTAACCATGGCGATGGGTCAACGCTGTGCTCCGCAGCAATCTGGCTTGTTGGACAGGTATCAGGATGGGAGAGGGCACTGGGAGAGTGGGCAGGGAGCCAGGCAAGCACAGCAGGCTCCCCATCAAACACAGCCCAGCACACGCTCCTGCTGCCAGGCTCTGCCTGCACCAGCCCTTCCATGCCACAAAGCACTGGGGACACTGCAATGAGAGTTTTGGGGATGGTTGCTCCTTCCATGCTATTTTGCATTGCTCTATGTGCTGTCGTGCTGGTCCCACAACAAGCAGCTCTGAGCCAGTGAGAGGAAGGAAGCTGAGCCCAGGCCTTGTGCTTTGGGTTAAAGGGCAGCAATGATAAAAATGCCCGTAATGAGTTCTTCAGCAGAGGAGGCTCGCACCTTGTTTCCATCAAGCAGAGGAGCAGGAGGAGCCAGGTGTTTCTGCCACCTTCCTCCTTGCTGCACATCCTCCGTGACAGCTTTTTCCCTTGTGTGCTGAAGGGGTCAAAACACATCCTGCTTGCACACACACAGAGTCCGGTGTTACCCTGGTGTTATGGTCCCTGCTTGCCCTCCCTGCCGTGTTCCCTCTATTATTCCCAGCGTTGACTTGTGTCCCGTGCGCATTCCTTAAAGTGCCTGCATCAGCACTGAGGGAGCACACCGAAAGACCAGAAATGTGAGGAAAATACTCTGCTCAGCCCTTGGCAAGTCCCCTATGGATGCTGATGAATGGAAACACTCTCTTTTACACTTGGTGACCCCTGAGCTTCAGTAGTGCTTGAAAGCATGAAAGCATGACATTAGATTTGCCTCCTGTTGCTGAGGAGGGTTTGGGCTCTGTGACTGATACAAAACACCTCCCGATCGCAGCTTTAAAGGAATCATATTTTCCTCCTGTGTTTTTTTTTCTTAATGAATCAGGGGTTCTCAAGTAGAGAAAGAGAGAGGCAGAGATTTCAGTAGAAAACATACCCTCCTTTTCAGGGGAAACCTTAAACCCAGCACCCATCCCGGTTCTAATCATTATCACCAATAGCTGGATACCAACGCAAACAAAAACTAGCAGAAAACTGATAGCCCGATTAAAAGAGCAGCTCAAAATAGAGAGATGGAGCCGCTGCTTGCGTTGCTCAGGGACATGGCCTCGCCCTGAGGTCTCTCCAGGGGCTGGCTTTTGGATCTCTCCCTATCTGCTTGCGCTGGGAACAGGAACCTGCCGGCTCTGCAAAAGCCATTTGCAGCCTCCCCGTGCATTCAGGCACCCGAGGAACTTCCTCTGCTCCACTCTGCCTGGAGCCTGCCCTGCAGCCCTGGGGTACGCTGCCCATAGCATTCCACAGTGGTTATCCTGCTCCTGCTGCCTACCCACAGCCCAGCTTGTCCTGCACCCCTGGGAGCATTTAGGAGGGACCCCGAGGGACAAGATATCTGCAGCACAGCATCACACTTGCAGGCACAGCAGCACCAGGGAGGGGACACAAGGTAGCCCTTATCCCCATGGAGACTGCTGCATGCAGCTGCGGCTTCACGTGGGTGCAAAAGTAAGGCAAACCCTGTGGGTTAGAGAACAGGCAGAAACCAGAGCCAAGCCCTGTTGTCCCCGCAGAAACCCTTTATTGTGTACCTGCTGCACAGCCTTCACGCTGTGCTGAACTTGCCTGGGAAAGCAGGAACATGTGGGCTGAGAGCTGCTGAAATACAGCACCACAGAGGACGCAGAGCCTGGCTGGGGGTAGAGCTGTGTCCTTGCAGTTCAAGGCCTCCTGGGCTTGCTTGCTGCTGCTTCTCTGCTTGCTGTTATCTTATTCGAGTGAAAATGATGGTGCCAATCCTGCAGGAACCCCAGATCACTGTGGTTGACCCCAATGGGGTTACCTATGCTGTGGTGGAGGGTACAGAGGGAGAAGCAAACGGGGGGTACTGTGTTCCCTGCTGGGTGCTGACTGGGATGCCTTGGGCTCCAGCACCCTTTAGCAGAGGCTGCTGTGGGTGCTGGCATTGTGTCCTCCTCTCTGCCTGCTGGACACTGTGGTAGGAGAGGCTTGAGGGGGTCTGGTTGAGGCCAGAACCCATTCTGGGGCCACCCACCCTGGGTACACTAGGATGCAGGGGCTGGCCACATCACAGGGATGCTCCTTAGCCCCTCATCACTGGTGGCAAACCAATTTCACCATCCCAGTCCTGCCATGCCTCGTCCCATGGGATTTCTCCCTTCTCCAGTCCAGTGTAGGAAAGCATGCACAGTGGTGGCCATGGGAACCAGTGCTCACCGTGTGGCTTTCCAGTCTTCTGCAGGGCTGTTGGATGCCTCTCGCAGGAGCCATAGGGCATGCAGGGTCTCCTCCCCATTGGTGCCCACATAGCACTGGCCCAGGAATACACTCATCTGGGTTGTGTCCAAGTCTGGAAGGGTCCGAGGAGGTGTGATTTGGGGTGGCAAGGCATGAAGCCACCCCCAAATGTGTCACCACTGCAAGGTGATGCCCCCCTCCTGCTTACCTTGATGCTGCCAGTGCACAGTGAAGGAGAAGATGGGCTGCAGGACCAGCCCCACATCCTGCTGGGACCCCTTCAGAGGTGAGGAGAGGATTTCGGAGTTGCCAGCAGCAGGTCCTGGCAGGTAGGAACCAGAGAAGCTACCGTCCTTGCCAACGGTGAACACAACCATCCTGCAGCCCGCATCACTGCGCCACGACCCGGAAAGGAGGCACTGCAAGGCCAGTCAGGGGATGGGGCACCCTGCTCCTGCCCCAACACCCTGGTCCTGCCTGGGGATGCTCCATGGACACTGTGTGAAGCTGGTGGCACTGGAATTGCCACATCAGCTTGAGCATCGTGCCCGTGGCAGTGACTGCCTCCAGCACAACCGTTGCCCTGGGCTCTTTGCTGCTGCTACCCAAGGGTGAGCAGGTCCTCCCCATGATAAAGCAGAGGGTGCACTGCTTTCCCAGCATGTTTGACAGGAAAACAGGGTTTCTCTAGAATATGTTCCTGTTTGCCTGTCTCTGAACGGATTCTCACAGTAAGGAGCATCCTTGCAGGAGAGGTCCCTCCCTCCCAAGCCTCTCCACAGCTTCCCTCAGTGCCCCACAGTGCTGCTCCCACCAGCTCGGGGCATCCCATCCCCTGCTCCCTGCTGAGCATCCCAGCCCCAGCAGCACACTTTGGGGTCAAACAGTGCCACATCCCCATCACCACCCATCCCCATACCTTCCTCTCCACAGGGGTGATGCAGGCCACCAAGCCCAGGGTGAGGACCAGGGCGAAGGCACCGCTCCCCATGACTGCAGGACTGGGAAGCACAGCTTCCTCCTGGCCCTTTATAGGTCTGTAACCAGAGCCCATGAGCAGTGGGCTGGCAGTGGCAGGGTGCCGGGGACAGGATAGATGAGGTGAGGAGGTCTGTGTGACCTGGGCAGTGCTGGAGGAATGCAGGGATGAGCACGGCTGTGCAGGAAGATGAGGAATAGGCTCTTTTAAAAGCACTTTACGGCGGCCTCGGAAGCATCAAACACCCATTCCCAGTGCACACAGGCTGGAATTATTGCCTGTTTAAACATGGAACTGCTCCCTGCTTGGTGTCACCCACCCTAGTGCTGAACATCTCTGGTAGAGGCAAGCTGCACAGGAGGGAAGGCTTACCCTGCCATCTGCTTTAGCAGCCACCACATCTCCACAGCATCTTCTGAGTTTCAGATGTTAATTTAGCTGGTTTGGCTTTTACAAGTGTTTAAGGAAGGAGTAACCACAAAGGCACACTGGGGTCCAAGCAAGCGTGTTTGCTGAAGACGTGTAGCATGCAAACCAGCACCTCTTCCTTATATCTGCTCCTCTTAGGGGCTTTGTAAGTACACAACACAGCATGGACTGACCCTGCTTTCATGAGCTGCTTCTCTGCTTGCTGCAGTGCCTGAAGCAGGCAGGGGGCTGCAGGCAACTGGGAAGTAAGGTGGGATTCAGCTGCATAAACACATGTTCCTCCCAGGACAGCAGCGTTTGGGGCCCTGGAGAGCAGCAGGGCTGTGGTGTGTGAACATCCACTCTGTTTACAGACCCGAACTCACAGCTTATCACAGCGGCTAGAGAAATCCTCCCTGCCCCAGGGGATCTGTTGCTGTTCCCTGGATGCCACGCTCCATCCTTTCAGCCTGACACCCTGCCTTTCTTCACTGTTTGGAAGGGACAAACTGCCCTGCTTGAGGTGCCAGGGAGGTGGCAGCCACCGCCCCATGTCATTGCAGCATGCTGGGGCTAGGCCAGGCTCTATGGGCTGTGCAAATAGTGTGCTGGCATCGCTGGGGCTGGGTTATATTTGTAACGCTTCTGTAGGAGGCTTCATCTTCACCCATGGACCTGCCAAAAACAGTGGATGGAAAGAGCTGACTAAGCTTGGCAGCCATCCACAGAAACAGATAGAGTGGCACTGACGAAATGCAGCAGCAGAGACAGGTAAAATCTATGATTGTAACCCAGGGGAATGATGAGATATGTGGGATACGATCAATGCGATGCAATGCAATGGGATGGGATATGATGCAGTGCAATGGGATGGGATGCGATGCAGTGCAATGGGATAGGATATGATGCAGTGCAATGGAATGGGATGCGATGCAGTGCAATGGGATGGGATATGATGCAGTGCAATGGGATGGGATGCGATGCAGTGTGACAGGATGGGATGCAATGCAATGGGATGAGATGCTATGCAATGCAATGAGATGCAATACGATGCAATCCAATAGGATGCGATGTGATACAATACAATGAAATGCAATGGGATATGATGGAATGATGGGATGGGAGCTTTAACTGTGCACATTTTACTTCAGGTGCTGTGCAGCATGAAGAAAACACACTACTGACATCTCACATTTACTGATACCATTACCTCAACCACCCAACCACACAGTGTAGAGTCCTGGCACTGGAAAAGTGTCTGGTAGGAATGGATATGAAGGCACCACAAGGAAGCTGTCTGGATTCAGGATGATGACGACGCCTCTGCGATCAGCAGGCAGGAAGGGAGTAATGGTGCAAGGTGGAAGTTTGGGTTAAGATGAGGTAGGAAATGGTCCCAAAGGGCTGGATGGGGGGATGAGGGAGGGATGCAGATGTCGCTGGGAAAGGGCAGTGGTGTTGCGGAGACAGAAGCTGCCTCAGAGGGGGAGCGAGGGCAGTCTTCAGAGACAGACAACCACAGCTGATGTGACTTTAAGGTTTATTTTGATGCGAGAGGCTGGTTTTGCTTGCCTTTGGGGGGCTGCAGCCAGAGCACAGTCATGGGGTGGGTGAAGATGTGTCCTCACAGGATGGGAATGAGCTAGGCAGGTTCTTTCCTCTCGGGGTGCGTTTGCGTGTGAAGACATTTCTGCCCACCCTATGGGAAGCAGAGACCATGGACACCCCCCTCAGAGCTGCCAGTGCCAGTAGGTGACAGGGGTGTCCCTGTAGGGGTGCCCCTGGACTGGGCAAACCCCTTGCCAGGAGGTATCGACATCGCCACTGCAAACCCACACTGAGGGGTTCACAGGGGTCTTCCTTCCACAGGGATGCTCCTCCTCAGGGCTACTGGGGAGGGCTCCTGTGTCCCCCGCGTCCTCCCATTACCTGGTGGCTTTCCAGTCCTCCTCGAGGGACCCGACAGCTTCACGCAGCAGCCACATGGTGCTCAGTGTCTCCTTTCCACCCGAGTCCACAAAGCACTGCCCAGCGAAGGTGGTGGTGGCATCTGGGGGAGGATTGGTGTGGTCAGTGGGGATGGCACCCATGCCTGCTGTGTGCATCCCCCTCCCTGTGTTCTGATGGCCTTGCACCCCCAAACCGTACCACTGGGACCTGCCCTTCCCTAGCAGCTCCCTTGGATAAGGCAGGCTCCTCAGCACTGCATCCTCTGTGTCCTAATGGGGTCTGGGATGCTGCGTGAGAAAGGGCTGCCGCTGCCTCTCTCTGTTTAGCTACACCAAAACATCACCCAGCAGAGAGCTGCATGGCTCCCGGTACCCCTGTGGTGCCATCTCCAGGTATCCCAGCACTTACTGGAGAACTTGTCCCAGCGCACGGTGAAGGCGAAGGTGGGCCATCCTCCCTCACCAGGTTGCTGCTGGGCACCCTTCAATGGGGAGGTATGGGCACAGCCACCAGCGAGCGTAACCCGTGTGAGGTATTTGCCCTGGAAGTCCCCGTTGTCTCTCAGTGCTGAAATCTCCATCAGCGAGTCCTGCTCGTTCCTCCACAGTCCGCTGAGCTGGCACTAAGGGGACACAGCCACAAGCCCTCTGTGCATGGTGCATAGGGGTCCCCATCCCTCCCATTGCCCCATGGATGGAGCTGCAAGCCCTGATGCAAGTGTGATTGTGGGGCATGGCTCTACCTGTCCCCAGTTTGGGGATATGCTACCTTAGCTGGCTGCTAAGTGAATGGTGCAGCAAGGCCAGCACATCTCAGTCTATTAGCATGCGTGGTATGACCAGATATGGGCTCTACAGGAAAGGATGCTCTATGCACTGCACCTCTGGGCAGTAGGAAGGGATGCCCTGTGCATGGTGCCCTGGACACATATCCCATAGGAAGGAATGCTCCATGCATGATGCTTCTGAGCACAGACCCCATGGGAGGGAATGCTCTGTGCAAGACGCCTTGTGAGAGCGAAGCTGAGTGGGTGACCTAGAGATACCCTGCCCATTGCCTAGACTGGGCACTTGCAAAGTTCTCCTGCTTGTCCCAGCCTAAAACGGCATTGAAGAGAGAATCCTTGGCTGCCCACACTGAATCCCATTGCCACATCACCACCATTCCCCATCCCCATACCTTCTTCTCTGCAGGGGAGACGAACGGCACCAGGGCCACTGCGAGGACCAATATGAAAGTGCTGCTCTCCATGGATGCAGGGCTGGGAAGTGCACAGCACGGCTGCCCTGACCAAGCCCTGCACCCTGATCCCTTTATAGGGCTGTAACCAGAGCCCCACTGGCACCGGACCAGCAGCCATGGGACAGTGGCCTGGTGTCAGGGTGCCCAGGACAGGTGAGGCGAGGAGGTCTGCGTGACCCAGGCAGTGCTGGAGGAACATGAATCTGAGCATGGGTTTGTGCAGAGGCGAGGGCACAGGCATGGTTTGCACATCCACTGTCCAAGAGGCTTTGCCAACCCATTCCTTGCTCTGTGATGGAGCCCTCCAGGTGGGCACAGCCCAGCAGTCTCCTGCTGCCACCATCCCAGTGCTCCCATTCAAACACAGTGATGCAGCAATCGCAGCCTGGACAGATTTCCCCTGCTGCACTGAAGGGTGGTGTGTGTGTGTGCCTGCAGGGTTCATCCTCTCACAATCCTCCCCTGTGCTGCAAGTTTCTGCTGCTCACTCTAAGCTGTTTTCTCTGCCACTGTTTCTAAGCTACAGCAGAGCCAGGGCGCAGGAAGGGCAGCAGGACAGGGCTCCCTGGGAGCCATGGAGGGGAAGCTCGGAGCTACCCGAGGAGCTGCTCCATCCTCCCAGGAAGATGGTCTGTGCTAAGCAAGGAGAGAGGCAGAGGAGCAGAGCAGGGAATGCATCCTGAGCAGGGGGCTGGCAGGAGTGATGACCATGCAGACACAGCAGAGGGGGCAGGAACAGTGGGTCAACAAGCTCCCCATCCTGGAGTTCAGGAGAGGAGACTATGGCCTCTTCAGGGATCAGCTTGGTAGAGTACCATGGGATAGAGCAGGGAAGAGGAGCCCAAGAAAGCTGGTTAGCATTCAAGGATCACCTCCTCCAAGCTCAGAAGCGATTGTCCCAAAAAAGGGAAGTCAGGCAAGAGCAAGAAGAAGCCTGTGTGGAAGAACAATTTGCTCCTGGATGAACTCCAGCACCAAAAGGAAGCCTGGTGGGTGAAGTGGCCAGGCTGCTCTCCTGAGAACCCACTGATGTTATGGAGCAATTCCTCCTGGAACCTGTGCAAACGCACATGGAAAAGGAGGGAGTGGTTGGTGACAGTCATCATGGCTTCACTAAGGGCAAATCATGCCTGACAAGTTTGTTGGCCTCTACATCAGGGTTACAGCATCAGTGGATAAGGGAAGAGCAGTTGATGTCATCTACCGGGACTTGTGCAAGGCATCTGACAATGTCCCACTCAACATCCCTATCTCTAAACTAGAGACAAATCGGCTTGAGGAATGGGCCATTTGGGCAAGGAATTTGCTGATGATTACACTCAAAGTGTTGTGGTCAATGCTTGATGTCCCAGTGGAGACGAGTGATGAGTGGCTCTCCTCAGGGGTTGGTTTTGGGACCAGTGCTCTTTGACATCTTTGTCAGTGACATGGACAAGAGACAGTGGGTGCTTGCAACAAAACTTTATTAGGAGATACAAATGGGGGACCAGGGACACAGGCACCCCAGGGCTGCAGACAGCTCAGGAACCCCCATGCTGCCTCCCTCACTCTTTCTGCACGCTCGGGCGGGTGAAGTTGTTGGTGCCGACCCTGTAGGACACAGAAGGAGGAGAGGTAAGGGTGGGAACTGCAGCCTTGCACAGGACAACTGCACCCTCACAGTGCCAATGCCCATCCAGTCCCATCTCCCCCAACAGTGGCTGCAGCGTGGTGGGATCCAAGGGCAGGCTGTGGCCAAGCACCATCCTCGGTCACCACCAGCAGCTCTGGGGGCACTGAGCACCATGGTATAGCAGAGCCCCAGACCCCTAGGGATGCGCAGGGGACCAGGGCATGGTCTCACATGGTGGCTTTCCAGTCGTCCTTGATGCTGTACTCATGCGACCGCAGGAGCCACATCGTCTTCAAGACCTCCTTTCCTTTCTCATCCACAAAGCACTGGCCCGTGAACACAGTGACAGCGTCTGCAGGGATGGGGCAGGAGGTGAAGGGGAGCATGGATGAGGTGGTGGGTCAGTGCCCTGCACCCTGTCCCAGCACAGGGGCAGGAGACCTGGCCTGTCCCTGCCCTCTTCAGACCGAGGTAATGGGGAGAGCAGGCAGGAGGGGTCTCGAGTAGAGTTGGGCACACAGCAACCCCCCAGAGCATCCTCTGCACCCTGAGACTGGGAGGTGACACCAGCCAAAGGGCTCCAGAGTAAAGGATGCGGAAGCATCAGGGACAGCACAGGTGATGTGAGAGCACGGGGGACACCGCAGGGGAAAGCAGGGGATCATCAGGGACACTGCTGTGAGGGCAGAAGAGCATCATGGACATCGCAAATGAGGAAAGGACGTATCTGGGGTATCACAAGACGAGCAGCAGGATGTGGGGAGATCACAGTGGAGGGTAGGTGAGATCTGGGGACACAACAGGGAAGATGGGAAGGAGAAGTACCTGCACCGTTCCAGTTGACGGTGAAGCCAAATACGGGCTGGGTCTGCTTTGTGCAGTTCTGGGACCCCCAAAGCAGTGATTCCTTGATAGCCCTCCCACTTCTTGACACAGCCGTGAAGTAGGAGCCGTTGAAGTTACATTCTTTGCTCATGGGGTTGATGGTCATGTTGGAACCCAGGTCATTGGTCCAGTTCCCAGTCAGCACGCACTGGGCTGGAGTGGGCTGTGGCAGACAGGTGAGTGGACGTTTGCCTTAGACATTTTTCGGTGCATGAGATGCCAGCTTTGTTGCTCGTATTGCAAACTTTGCAAGAGACTCCTTGTCTCTGCCGGGTGTTATAACACCTATAACAGTAGGTGTTACAGCCACAAGCTCCAGTTGACGGTTCCAACAGCTAATTGCACATGTGTAGGATGCCAGATCATTGACCTTGGAGAGGTCTCATTGGATGCAACCCCTGAAATACTTCCCCAGAAACCACCGCTCACGTTGAGCTTGCACAGACACAGACCACAGCCACCATTGCATCATACAGAAATGAAGAGGCATCCTCTCAGGAGCTTAAAACCCAAATCAATGAATGCTCAGGTGGGACCCTCTCCACCAAGACACCCAGGGTGAAGAGGACCAAGGGGACGCCACTGGATCATGGTGGTGATCATCTCTTCTGTTTTATCTCCTTCTCCTCTCTTCCTCTCTTTCTTTTAATTCAACAGTGACAAGATCTAAGTGAAAACTCACGGCACGGAACATGGTTATCCAGTTAAAGTAATCCCAATTGAGCTGCTGCATCTAACCATGTGCCTTCTATTTTGTAGTAGTATAGCATTAAAATGGTTGGTTGGTGTCATTCACCTTAATTCAGTCCCCGGGTATCACGAACTTGCTCGTTGGTCCCAAGGGGAAGGAGGCCATCCTAAATGACTCCTCTTGGGTAGCAACAGGGACCCATCACCCGTGCTGCAGCGCAGCCTCTGCCCACCCTGCCCCTGCATCCCAGCCCTGCCATTACCTTTCTTGTGGAGAGGACGGGGGCCACCATGGCCAGGCTGAGCACCAGGAGGAAGGGGGTTGCGTGCACCATCTCTGCAGCAGCTGGCAGCAGTTGTACCTGGGGGTGTTCTCCTCACAGAGCTCTGCTCATGTGCCTGCTTCTCCCCTATTTATTGCTGCCGGGGCTGCGGTGGCAGCATCACCGGTGGCGTTGTGCAATCTGGGTGTTCCCAAATTTGTACCTCCTGGTCACAGGAGATGGTAGGCAAATATTCCCATCTGAAACAGTGCTCCCTTGCTCACACTTCCTTGGAACCTCATGGGGAGGGCTTGGCCCCTGCAGCTCAGTGCTCACCTCCCGGATGTCCCTTGTGCCACCCGAATTAATCCCTCTTGTAAACACAGAAAGGCTTCTCTGGAAGATACGTAGATAAGTAAATTTGCTTATCCCCATGGGAGAGGATGCCCTGTGCATGGTGCCCCCATGCGCAGACCTCATGGGAGGCAACGCCACAAGCACGGTGCTTGGAAGCTGGGCAAGGTACAGCTCCACGGCAAAGCCCTGTTGATTCCTCCCAAGGCATCCCTAAATGCACAGTGCTGCACTGAGGGTGTGCAGGTGGCCAGGAGTCTTCAGGCTGCATGGCTTTTGCACGGGCACAAGGCACAGACACCTCCTCCAAGATGTCTCTCCAACCTGTGTACATGTTGCTGCAGGGGAAGATGGAGCTGGAACCTGGATGCGCCCAGGGCACAGAGGGCCTCTCTCGTCCCTGTCCAACACAGGGATAAGTGTCTGCTTTGGGAGTTCTCCACAGTCACATCTGGGCTGGGCTTGAATATGCCCAAAGAACCACTCTCCTCCTTGCCGGGGAGCAGGATCTACATTGCTCATGTACACATTCCGCTTTGTTTTTACTTAAAAAATTGGCTTGGCTGCACCCAGCTCTGCCCCATCTGCTGCTGGGCAGGACCTGCCTGGACAAGAGTGAGAAGCGGGGACTGGGAGGTGCCTGTTGGGTATAGAGGGGCACAGGGGACACCAAAGGAAGTTGGTGGACCTTCAGGGACACCACAGGAAGGGCTGGGGATGTCTGAGGTCACCACAGCAAGGGCTGGAGATGCCTGGGAACACCACAGGAAGGGCAGGGGGCTCTGGGGACAGCACAGTGGAGCTCTGAGGACACACCAAGGCAGGTGGGGAAGGAGAAGCACCTGAAAAGCTCCAGTTGACGGTGAAGTCAAAGGTGTCCTTGTTTGTGTGGTGCTGGGACCCCTGCAGCGGTGACACTTTGATCTCGTTGCCAGTGGCCGTCACAGCTGTGTGGTAGGAGGCGAGGAATTCACCCTTCTCATTCACGGCCATGAAAAGCATCTGTGGGTATGTCGGTGATAAAAGGAAGACTGGGGAAAATGTGGGCCCTCTCCCAGTGGAAAGGGGAGACCTGGTTACCCAGGACATGGAGAAGGCCGAGGTACTCAGTGACCTGTTTGCCTCAGTCTGCACTGGCAAGAGCTCCAGCCAGACTGCCCCAGTCACAGAAAGCAAAGGCAGGGACAAGGAGAATGAGGAACCCCCTGCTGTAGGAAAAGATCAAGTTTGAGACCTTCTAAAGGAGCTGGAGGTTCACAAGTCCATGGGACTTGATGAGATGCACCCGTGGGCCTGAGGGAACTGGTGGGTGAAGTGGCCAGGCTGCTCTCCATCATGTCTGAGAAGTGTGGCAGCCCAGTGAGGTTTCACTGGCTGGAAAGGGGGAAACCTAACATCCGTTTATAAAAAGGGACACAAGGAAGACCTGGGGAACTACAGGTCAGTCAGCCTCCTGAGAGCCCACTGACGTTATGGAGCAATTCCTCCTGGAATCTGTGCAAACACACATGGAAAAGGGGGAAGTGGTTGGTGACAGTCATCATGGCTTCACTAACCGCAAATCATGCCTGACAAGTCTGAGGGCCTCAACAGGTTAGAGCATTAGTTGATAAGGGAAGACCAGTTGATGTCATCTACCTGGACTTGTGCAAAGCATTTGATAAGGTTCCACACAAGGTCCTTGTCTCTAAAGAGGAGAGGCATGGGTTTGATGGACAGGCCACTTGGTGGATAAGTAATTGGCTGGATGATTGCTCACAGAGTTGTGGTCAACAGCTCAATATCTTAGTGGAGACCACTGATGACTTCTTCATAGTTTTGGGACCAGCGCTGTTTGACATCTCTGTGGGAGATGTGGACAGTGGGACTGAGTACAACCTCAGTAATTTGCAGATTTGCTGATGACACCAAGCTGTGCGGTAAAGTTGACACACTGGAAGGAAGAGATGCCATGCAGAAGGACCTTGACATGCTAGAGAGGTGGGTCAATGCCAACCTCACAAAGCTGACCAAGACCAAGTGCAAGGTCCTGCACCTGGGCTGTGTCAATCCGAAGCACAAATTCAGTCTGGGCAGAAACTGGAACTCTATGCTGGACTTCATCAAAAGAAGCACGGCCACCAGGTTAAGCAAGGTGATTCTCCTCCTCTACTCCTCAATGTTGGAGATCCTACCTGCAGTACTGCATTCAGCTCTGGGGGCCACAACACCAGAAGGACATGTTCAGCAATGCCACCTTGCTGGAACACCTCAGTACTGTTGCACAGCCTCTGTGGAGCCCTGTCCTGGCAAAATGTTGACATGTATCATTGAATAATAGAATACTAGCTTAGAAGGGATCATCTGGTCCACCCTTTCTTGGCAAAAGCACACACTGTAATTAAGATGTCCCAGCACCCTATCCAGCTGAATCTTAAAGTGTCCAACTTTGGGGAATCCACCACTTCCCTGGGGAGGTTATTCCAATGGCTGATTGTTCTCATTGTGAAGAATTTTCCTCTTTTGTCTGACTGGAATCTCCCTAGGAGTAACTTGTGCCCATCCACCCCTCATCCTTTCCACGTGACTCCTTGTAAAGAGGAAGTTTTCATCCTCTTTGTAGCCACCCTTTATATACTGGACCATGGTGGTAAGGTCTGCCCTAAGCTTTCTTTTCTCAAGGTTGAACAAGGCCAGCTCTCTCAGCTTTTCCTCACAAACTGCACAATCCTTTGCTCATCTTTGTGGCCTTTCTGTGGACCCTCTCCAGCCTGTGTTGTATAGCAGGGACCGAAACTGAGCACAGTAATCCAGGTGTGGCCTCACAAGCACTGAGTAGAGTGGGATAATGACTTCTTTGTCTCCACTGATGCTGTCTTTGTTGATGTAATCCAGCATCCTCTTGTCTTACTTTGCTGCAGCTGCACACTCTTCACTCATAGTGAGCTTGCTGTCAACGAGGACCTTCAGGTCCCTTTCGACAGAGCTGCTCCCCAGATGGGCAGACCCCAGGCTGTGCTGCAGTCTTGCATCATGTTATCCAGAACCTTACACTCGTCCTTGTTGAGCTTCACAAAGGTCTTGTTAGCTCACTTTTCCAGCCTGTACAGGTCTTCCTGCAAGGTGGTTCTCCCTTCCATAGTGTCTACTTCCCCACTTAGTTTGATATCATTGGCAAATGCGGCCGGGGCACGCTTGATCCCACCTTCCAGACCACTTGTGAAAATGTTGGGCCCAATATCAATCCCTGGGGACCCCACTAGTGCCAGGTCACCAGCTAGAACGGGAGCTGTTCACCACCCCCCTCTGGGTGAGGCCGGTCAGCCTGTTCCCCACCCAGCACACAGACCGCTCATCCAGACAGTAACGCATCAGTTTCTCCTGTTTAACAACGGGCTAGTGTTTCCCTTCTATTTCTGACTGTTGTTTACGTACCTGAAGAACCATTTCTTACAGTTTTTGACAGCTCTGGACAATTTAATAGAATCACAGAATCTGCCGGGTTGGAAAAGACCTTTAAGGTCATCAAGTCCAACCATTACCCCAGGTTGCCAAGACCACCACTAACCCATGTCATTGAGGGCCTCATCTACATGGTTTCTGAACCCTTCCAGGGACGGTGACTCCAGCACTGCCCTGGGCAGCCCATTCCAATGCCTGAGCACCCTTTTGGGGAAGAGACTTTTTCTTGATATTCAGACTAAATCTCCCCTGGAGCAGCTTGAGGCCATTCCCTCTTCTGCTGTCACTTGTTACTTGGGAGAAGAGATCAACCCCACCTCACTCCATTCCCTTTCAGGCAGTTGTAGAGAGTGATAAGGTCCCCCCTGAGCCTTCTCTTCTCCAGACTAAATCCCCCAGTTCCCTCAGCTGTTCCTCATCACTTGTGCTCCAGGCCCTTCACCAGCTCCTTTGCCCTTCTCTGGCCCCACTCCAGCACCTCAATGTCTCTGTTGTAGTGAGGGGCCCAGAACTGAACACAGGATTCGAGGTGCAGCCTCACCAGTGCCCAGTGCAGGGGGATGATCACTGTCCTGGCCCTGCTGCCACACTATTGCTGGTACAGGCCAGGATGCTGTTGGCTTCTTGGCTGCCTGGGCACAAGCTGCTCATGTTCAGCTCCATCAATCAGGTCCTTTTCCATGAGCACCTTTCCAGCCACTCTTCCCCAAGCCTGGAGCATTGCATGGGGTTGTTGTGCCCCAAGTACAAGACCCAGCACTTTGTCTTGTTGAACCTCAACCCATTGGCCCCAGCCCATGGATCCAGCCTGTCCAGACCCCTCTGCAGAGCCTTCCTATCCTTCAGCAGATCAACACTCCCACCCAGCTTGGTGTCATCTGCAAACTTACTGAGGGTGCACTCCAACCCCTCATCCAGATCATCAATGAAGATATAAAACAACACTGAGCCCTGAGGGACACCACAAGTGATCGGTTGCTAGCTAGATGTTACACCATTTACCGCTACTCTTTGGGCTTGGCCATCCAGACAGTTTATAACCCAGTGAAGAATCCTCCTATCCAGGCCATGAACAGCCGACTTCTCCATGGGAATACTGTGGGAGACAGTTTCAAATGCTTTACTTAAGTCCAAATGCATAATGTCCACAGCCTTTCCTCCTCAGCCAGGTGGGTCACCTTGTCATAGAATGAGATCAGGTTGGTCAAGCAGGACCTGCCCTTCATGATCCTGTGCTGACTGGGCCTGATCCCATTTTCCTGCATATACTGTGTGATGTCACTTAGGATCATCTGCTTCACTCAATGCTCTGACCTGCCCACTAGACCAAGACTGCTGATGGATGATGGAGAGTGGCTTAGCAAGCTTCTCTGCCATGTTCTTCAGAACTCTTGGGTGCAACCTATCCGGCCCCATAGACTTGTGTTCA